AAAAAAAATAGTCACACCATAGCTTGACGCCGTCTCTGCAGCCCAGCAACAATAATATCTAACACAAATGTGCAAGAAACTGTGCAAATCTTACTTTGGAAATGATCGATCAAAAAAAGGCGCTTGAAGAATGGCAGCAGGAAATACTGAAAATAGTCGAACTTTAGCCCGTTTTTATTTGTTTGATTGTACTTCATTTGGCTTAAAAATTTTCAAAGCAGCTTTCAAGAATAAGAAGGAACACTTAATCGTCTAGCGAGAAAAAAGATGTGGGTTCGAATTCATCCTTTGCGTAGAAAAACGAAGAAAATTTCCTTAAAGAAAATTGTTTAACTGCTTTGAAAAATATTTCGGTTTTCGTAATCTATACTACATCTGCTGCTCCGACTGATCAACCCAATGAAGTAAGCTGGGTCCTGGTGCAACTAGAGCACAATGGAGTGCATTTTTGCCCAAATTCTGGCTCTGGAATGCTCAGCGGATACCAGTTTTCTATTTGTCAATTGCTTTTCGCCATCGACAACAGAGGGGTGAATGCAAACAGAGAAAGTCGAAACAACTACAAAAGTCATATCAAAGGAGCAAAAAGGTATTTAAAGATGAAAGTGGAAAATGTTTCAGGAATGACAAAAATAGGAAATACTCTAGGAATGATAAAAATGTACGAGGTGAACAAAAACACTCTCGAGCTATTACATGAAAAGAGTGCTAATTTGCGCTGACCGCCAGCAGTTTTTCGATATTTTCAGACAAACACGGGACTCCACACTTTCTTGGGCAAAACTGATGATGACCGAAATGAACAGTGGAATTACCCATCGTGGGTGTCAGCAAAGTGTTGTACATTTCCAACAAAGTTTTGTGGTCTTAGCCTGCTATGTGTGATATTGTCGAAGCAGTATTAACCAGAAAGAAGAGTTGGATAAGTGAGAATGAAGGATAGCAGATAGCAGATCGGATGACTTAATGTCAGCAAATGTACAGAATAGCTCGATTGTGGCGGTAAGACTCAATGAAATGCCAAAAATTAAATGTGTGGATGAGAAAGTCCCAAAACTGAGAACTGCGAAGTTCCCGACTAAATTTATGATGAGATAAAACGCGTCTCTAATTAAAGTATTAAAGTAAAAATACCTTTTTCTTGCAACAAATCTACGATATGCCACTTTCTCGGCTGACTTCATTACTTAATCGTTAGTAACTATTCAGGTTCCGCCTGGAATATTCTCACCGCCAACTCTGAAATCAAAATAAACATACCAACGGCATTTTTCAGTGAGGAATAGAACGCGTTGACAGTAGATGCAGATGCGCCAAATTCTGTTCTTTTAACAGGTTCCACCAATTTCCGAAATGAATGCTCCATTGCCCACCGTGATGTTTTTGTCACTATTTGAGCATACGTATCATTCGGCTCAATGTTCAACTGAATATGTCAATTTCATCACAATCATGCCAAATATTTTATCGCACTGACACGAATAACGTCATTCCTTACAGTACTAAGCAGAAGTGCAGCCTAGCTTAATTTGGGGAGTGAGGCAAAAGATGTTTTGGAAAAAAGGCAAATATTTAATACATTATAAGATGACTCCTAAATGAAAAAGCCAGACTAATCGATTAAATATAAACTTTTAATTGGCTTAGCACAGGCTTGCCACTCCGATCATGCGTTTTAGCGCTAAACTTGAAGCAATCAAGTCGTTAATAATATGAATGGTTGCTGCTCTACAGTTTAACATGGTTATTTATGCTGGTTGCGTTGTGGCCGCTTCATGCGAAGGAAAAAGTGCCATCTGGGATGACATACTGCACCATGGGCCACGTGAAACCTTAGCTTCCAGCACACATGATCGCCGTAAATTTTATTTGGAGGAAAACGATTAATTTCCGGTGAATGCTCGATTGCTAAAAATGCAGATTGGACAACGGTAGGGAGTCGGTAAAAAAGAATGACGAAAATGCGAGCAAAATGCATTCGCCTTTGTGGTTGGGATAGAAAAATGAGCATTTGCCATCTCTGTTTGCAGGGAATTTGGTCTTCAAGCAAAATTTGAACCACGAGTGGATATCATTGCAATATCATTGCAAAATGTTGGCTTCGCAGCTTGTCACGTATCCGAAATCGTCAATTCGCTACTACTGTCTCTGACGTGCTCTAAGAAGCGGCAAAAATACAATTCAAAACTCTCCATTTAGGCATACAAAACCCCAGATGGATATTCTGTCAAAATTACCGCTATTGTTTTCCTGCTAATTTTCGAGTTGGTACCTTGCCAACTACAAGCTTCGACATAAGCCTGCGCGTGACGCATTCTTGTTGAGAACAGAATTTATAGCTCACATATACGCAGAGAATTCTCCTTGCAAAGTTCCAGCTTTTTCCCCTGGCCGGTTCCTACCAAGAAATTTACATGTTTTTAAGCACTCATATGTCTAGAACTACTGGAGCATTAAGTTCAAAGAGGGTGGATGGCATACTGGATGGAAATATGTTTCTTTCACGGCTGCTGAGTTGAAGAGCAAAGTTTACTCGCCTCCAAACACACACATGCATGCACACAAGCACACATACACAGACAATCCCGACAATATGCACTTTCGCATTTGCATAAGGTGCAATCTCGACAACATGCGTCCTTGCATTTAAGACGCATAAAAATGCATAATTATCAGCCATACAAACACTTACTGTGCTGCAATTTACAAGTACCCAGATGCGAACATACGTAATGATGTGCAGATGCGACCATACTTTTTGCTTTCATATCGGCATGTAAGACGTTAACATAAGTGAAAGCTGTTATTGCTTTTTCGTGCTCCACAAAACCAAGCAATATTCTCAAAAAAGTTTAACTTGCGCGTGTGATTACCAAGAAAAGAGGATGACGGCAGTGCTGCAGTCTCAAAATTTGTTACAACTGTCCGCATGTTTTACGCTTGTTGGTCTGCATGGGAACACCAAATACTCTTAGAAAAGTGTTGCATAGTTAAACCGACGAGTTAACTGAATGTTACTAGTGATCTTAAACTAAATTTTCACACCCGCGCGCCATAGCGCGTTTTAAAATTGAATTTAAATAATTAGGTCGCACACGTATACACAGTATCCTCGCAGAATTCCAGCTTCCTAGCTTAACTATTTCGCGAAATAGCCTTTCGTTACAGTGCCCAAAAGCGTGGCACATACAAGCGCAAAACTCATTTTACGCTTATTTGTCTGTACATGGTCCCGTAGAGTCAAGTCTTTTTATGACAGTTTAGTCCAAGAGTTAGCACTTTGCCAGCGACGCTCCGTTTCAACCTTGACTTGTCCAAACGTACGGCGCACTCGTGCGTGATAGCTGAATTTGAAATCTTTAGCTCAACTAAGGTCAGAGAACATTATTTTGAAATTTCAGCTTTCGATTTTTTCTTATTTCAGCTTTCGCTTTCGATTTTTTCTTATCAAAAAACCTCACTTATTTCCCAGCCAAAACCTTTCACTTTCCTTCAGGCATCCATAGAAGAACTAAAACTAGAGTTAGGAGGAAGGGTCACACAAGCAGTGAGAAAAACGCTTCAAAAATTCAGCCTTCAACCTCCTCTGGCTGCTGAGTTGAAATCCAAACACACACACACACACGCAAACACACACACACACGAACATATACACACATACAAACATATCCACACAAATACATGCACAGATCGGGAACCTTTTGATAATCTGTATTTTTTCGTTTGAATGAATATGCAACCCAACAAGGGACACCTCAGGTTTGCCAATGCGCCCATGTGCTTTTGCGCGAGCAGTTAGATTGTAACAGTGAAAATAGTTGTTGCTTTCCAGTTTAATATGTCCACTCATGCTGGCAATGTTTTTGCCTTTTTCTATATGTAGGTACGCTTCATGGAAAAAAAGGAAGCGAGGTCGTCACAACATCAAGTACCCTTCGAAAAAAAGTATTGTACCAGTTTATAGTACTCGTCGAGATCTTCGGGATTTTGAATAAAATCCGGATAACCAATCAAGCTAAGCATTTCATCGGCTTTCTTCAGCGCTTTCTTTCGAGTGCTCTCTTCCAGCCAATCGTTTTCCAATAGCATTTCCTTGAAACTCGCTTGCAACTCACGCACCATTTCCAGCACCGCCTCTTTATCAACCTTGAAGATTTCCAAGAAAGTCAGCAAATGTTATGGAAGTGCATCGCAGTTGACTAACGTTGAGCAACCGGATACCAGAACTAGGACGGGCAAATGTAAGTTGTTAAACGCACGAACAGGAGAGAAATAGACGAAAGCTTAGGCCAACAAAAATTCTGGCTGTCTTTGCAGTGCAACAAGAAGCTAAAGGTTGTTTGAAGTGAGTATTTTTATGATATCACCGCGAACAGAAGAAGTGAAATAAGATAAAATACTTGTTTTGCTGAACGGCAAGGGTTGCATCGTACCACCAAGCGATTTGCGCATGAAGGAAAAGACTAGACAAGGCAGATAAAACTGCTGAGATGCGTATATAATATGTTCCCAAGGACTAGCTGAAGGCATGCAGACTAAAGACAAAAATCCAGCGTTTCTTCACCACGGGCTGAAGTTGCGTCTCTAGAGTCATTTCGGTACTAAAATGAGCTAACAACGAATGGATGAACAAATAGATTATCTGAAAAAATTCAACAGTAATGAATATCCCACTTATTCCGAAACCAACAGCGCGCACCGGGCGCCTGTGCAGTCGTATGTTTTTTACGCAGTTTTCCCAAAGATGTGTACTGCTAAGTAGCACTGCTATTTACGGAAGATACTTATAGACAAGCGAATAGAAATACGCATCAAATTCGGATTCTTTACCATGTTAAGGTAAAATACAAAATTGTGAGCATCAAACAACACCGTAAATGAGATGTAGAGGGAATATGAAGGTTGTTTTCACGTGCGCCTGTCCAGGCACGGTCGTAGGCCATGCTCAGAAAATTTCAGCACTCTAGACACTTTGGCTGTGAAGCTAAAAAGTTGTCAGTATTGAGTTTCATGTGTTCGTGCGTAAGATGTGGGAATTGTGAAAGGTCGGTTTACTTTCACATGCGAACAAAAAATGCATATAAAGAAATGGTGGAAATGTGAAAAGAAATTAGTATCGTAAAATTTGATTGCGCACAAATAAGGGATAATTTCGTGAAGTTTCAGCGCTTTAGCTTGACTGGCCTTCGAATTCGCTTCCCGACAAAATATATTTTATGTGCCTCTATGACTGAAATCAGACGGCACGAACTTTGACTTTTACTTAGGGGTCTAAACGTGTTGTTAAACTAATTTGCTCAAATATCAGCGTCACAGGTCCCATAGGTATGGAGGCTAAAATATATATATGCACGCACAGCAAACCTTTCTTTTCCTTTAAATATGCATTTTTGCATTGCACAGACGCAAAATCAATGGCAAAGCAACAGGCAGGCCTTCATACCTATGGCAGGCCGGTGAGATAATGCGTTTTTGCAATATTTCGTGCTGTAGGAAGATCGATTGGATTTCCAGTAGTTAAAATTTGTGACACACTGGCTGTCGAAGTTCAGGAGGTTAATTGTGCAACTATGCGGCAGTTGGACAAGGAACATTCCCTTAAAATTTCAGCTTTCCAGCTTTTCTCTTTCCCGACTCCTCTTTTCCTAGTTATTTTCCTGCTAAAATTTTCAACTGTCAGTACGAGAGGGCCAGACAGTTCTAAGAATTTGAATTTGAAATCTTTTAGTCGTACATGAGTAGGAAATTCCCCTTAAAATCCCAGCTTTTTAGTTAGCTGTTTTCTGTAATGTTCTCACGTGCTCGTACGTAAGAAGCAGACTTGCGTGATAGTAGATACCGTGTTTTCAGGGCCAAACTTGACCACGGAATACACTGTCTGAGTAACAAAACTTGCGTGGCTGCTGAGTAAAAATACCCGGAGAGACGAACATACGCACACACATACACACAGAAAAGCAAGCAAACATTCACACACAGATAGGGTCATTGCAATAAGCGTTTTTGCTGCTTGCTGCAGCGTCCTAGCGCTACACGGCAAAAAAGCATAAAAATACACAAAAACTAAATTCATTTCAAGAAACCTTGTTGAAGTAGGATTTCACATATAATGCCCCTGACGCGTAACTCATGCGTCCCACGGCTGCGTGACTACAGTCTTTCCATCTTGGAGATTTCGCTTGCTTCCCAATAATAACTTGAAGAAATTCCTGCAATTTGAAGCATTAAAGCTGGCTGAATTGTTGCAGAATTACCTTGTTTTGCTGCTGGAAAGTGAAAATTAGTAATGTGGACCAGTAATGAAGACATGATGCCGAGTTTCTGCATACTTTTTGCGCGGCTGTAATAAAAGCGCGCACTGTTTTACAGCTTGCTATATGCATTCATGATGGATATGCTGCTTGCTGGTCTTTTTTCCACAGCCGAGGATAAAATACATTGACTAAGCGAGTGATGTTGCCCTATGATGTCTCGTGATTTTCAGCTTTGTAGCATGTCTGCTTACCTTGAGAAGAGGGTGTTGAAACTTTTACAAGTTTACATGGCTCAGAATGAGAGGCAAGCGTACGGCAGGTCGTTTTATACTTATGGTCAGCATGGGCGGCAAATATCCTCATAAACAGCTTCCTACTCAGCCTTGTTCCTGACTTAAGCTGCCAGTACTGTTCCAGCTTGAAAATTTCATTTTCTCATAAGCAACACCAAAGTGGGTTTAAAATCTTTAGATTGCATAGAAGACGTTCTCACAGAATTTTTGTTTCCGTCTTGACCTGTTTCCGAAAACGTTTCTCGCCAAAAATATGTTTAACTTGTCCATACGCATGTTGTAAACATATACGCCAATTGAATTTGAAAAATTTAAGTTACACATATTAAATTCAATTTTACTCTTGTTTGGATTCGGCATTGTTTTTCTGCCAAAAATTTTCGGTTTGTGCTTCACTTGCCCATACATTGCCTAGGCGCAAGTGACTGTTGACTTCATGTTTTTGAAGCCGCCCATGAAATAATAAATAGCAACGCGCACCAGACTAGCCGGTGCGATCATGCGTTTTGTGCAATTCAGCCTATCG